TCATTGGTGATGACGTGATGTAACATGATGGAAGTCGAAACAATATGTTGGACAACTTGCTTGTGACTGCCAGTGCTCGAAACACCCGTGTCATCGATGTAAGCATCGAACTCAAACTGTTTGTGCCGAGGGAGCTGGTCAAACGCATCCATCGCGAAAACACGGATGTGCGATGTCGCAAAGCTGCATCCAGCAACAACACCATTGATCACGAAAAAGGGACCGTCCAGCACGCCTGCAACAGAGATGAAACGGCCGCACCTGTAAGCATGGATCGACAACCGAGTGATGACTTCAGGTAAGTTATGACGACGACATCGATCTTCCAGCATATCCAAGTTGATCGTTTCATAATATTTGAACATGTCATAAAAAAACGATGGCGCTGCACAGATTCCGAGCCGTGCCTGACTCAGCTCGGACTGACTGGCGCCACACCACATCAGACGCTCCTCTGAAAGCCCCTGCGGCCCAGTACCGACGGGGGTGTTGTCGCTCCCAGTCCAAGGCGTGGGGCCGCCTGAGGCGACCCCGCACCCTGTGCCAGGAGCAAAACACCCCTATCGGCCTGAAGCCGCCTGTCGGCTTGCTGAGGGGGGCGATCAAGACAGCAGAAACCTGTCGAGGCAGCACTCCAACCGACTCCATCAACTCAAAAAGCATGGCCACAGCAGCGAGACCGTCGTCGCAAAGCAAGTGGAAGTGCCTGCAGTCAAATCCGTCATAAGTGACAGCCGAGCCCGCCTTGCATCGCTTGGACACTGCTCGAACCTGGTCAGGAGTAGCCCGAGGAAACGCTTGAACAAGCGTCACACTCGTGGCCTCTCCAGAGGCCTGGCCCCAGAAACTGCTGAACTTGTCTCCTTCTTTAGCGAGCAAGGACAACGGGTCAGCCACCACCGAGCCGTCCGCCGCCAACGTCGTCGTCGGCCTCCAGGGCGAAGGGTCTTCGGTGATGATGTGGACCCTTTTGGCTCCCTTGTCCAGGCCAGCGGTCAACCAAGAACGCCAGTCCGCATTGGACCTGGCTCTATACCGCGAGTCCGCCTCGGCCGGGGTCGTCTTGAGACCCTCAAGCTGCGCCCCACCAAGAGCTATCACCTCCGCCGCCCATTGGGATGAGGAATGCTGTTGAACGAAGCGCCTGATACAATCGAACGAGCTCTGGTACTCATTCGTGTGGCATGAGACAGAGGCAGGCCAGCAAAGAAAGGAAGCGTGGATGGCCTGCGCCTGCGCAGACAGACCTCGGTTGTCCCTGCGCAGTGAGACCAGACTACGAAACTGGGCCCCCAGCCATCTGATGGCCCTGTGGGCAGGATACATTGGCTTGCTGTCCCGTCCCACCACCGATCTCCACATGAGCTCAGGCCCCGCACTCCTCGTCCCCTTCCTGATCAAGTCGGCGCCTAAGAGGGGAATCAGCTCCGCTTCCGCAACGTCAGCCCAGGCACCATAGCCTAGGGTGAGGAGACTCGCCGCCCGAGTACCATTCCCGCGTTCAACCTCTCGAAGGCCCTCCTGGGCCATGTCCAGAACCTGATTCCAATCCTGCCGCTGGGGCTTGGGGCCCAGCACAGGATCCGGGGGGGGCGGGGGGGACTTTCGGAAACTTAAGGCTTTCAACGAAGCAGGCGCAGGGTGGAACTTGAGATCGACAGGACGGTGCGGGCTCAGTTCCGTGCTCATAACAACTTCATCAGAAGCAGCCGCCTTTCCAAGGCCGCCACTGCACACAAAAAAGTCAATCTTGGATGGGGCTCCATCCCCAAAGGAGGCGCAGCCGTCTGGATCTATCAGCTGGCCCTGCAATGCAGAGACAAACTTGGAAGCGGCAAGGTTCGAGGGGGGAAGGTTGAACTCCCCTCCCAACGCAGGGAACCCCGAGCATCTCGCCCCTAAGGAGGCCAACGCTTCCAAGCTTCGCTCCGACAGGCCCTCACTGTTGTGCAAATAGACGCTCCCAATCCTGAAAGTGAAGCCCCCTGGGACCTGAACATCGGCCACCATCGCGTGGCCTTTGAAAACAACAAACCCTTCCGCAGGAGCAATGTGGCCGAACCAATCACGAACAAGCACGGCGACACCTCCTGAGGTGTCGGAGTCGGTCTCGCAGGCGGGGCACCAGGGAGACTTCCAACCATTTCGAGCACACCGCTGAGATGCCGCGTAAAGCTTCTCAGCGTGGAGCAGACGATGCTCCTGCACCAACGCGACGTCGGCAGGCGTGTCACGCAAAAGCTTCTTGGGCCTGCCCCACGAGTTCACATTCATACTTCGAATCAACAGTTGCACCGAGCTCAGCCCGTCAGACCCCTGGACCTGGCCAGGAAAAGGAGGAGTGAGGCACGGACGAGGAGGGGGAGAGATCCTGGGGCCAGGCGCCATCTCCACAGGGCTGCCCGCGCCTGGAAAGCCCAGGACGGGGTAAAACGGGGATCTGTGTCCAAAACTGGCCAGCTTACAAAAAGAGTCAGCTGGCAGGGAAGTGTGGGTCGTCCGTCCTCCATTCAAAATTCGCGCAGCCCTCCAGAGCGCGCGACGCACAGCCGCTAACAAGCCACGGAACCGACTTATAGGCCGCGACACGCCGTTCATGTCAGGAGGGGGCGACGGGAGAACGGCCGATAGGCCACATAATAAGAGTTAGACTTGTCTGCGCAAAAATGAGTAGGGTTCGCGGCGGCCCTGCTCTTCTCAAGGCCGTTTTTCAACACCGCTTCGGGCGCAACGCGGGGGCGAGGGGCGGGGGGCTCCGCCGCTGGGCCCTCCGAGTGATGAGGCTCACAAGGAGGATTCCAAAAGCAGGTAGGGCCAGCAAGGCCCTGGTCCGACTGAAAAAGAATGCTGGCTGCTAGGCCTGGCGAGGCGGTCAGGTCAGCATGTCCAGAACGAAGCTGAGGAGCATGTGGTTGCTGAAATCGAACCCCCCCTTCACGCCGATGCGCCTGAAGGGGGGGGGGGGGGGGGGGGGCTCGTTGAAGCGCGCGGCGGGCCCGGGCGCGGACATCCTCGGCATCAGCATGGTCCGCGGTCGCGGCTCCAGGAGCAGCAGCTGGCTGCCCAGCAGGCTCACCGCCACCCGCGGGGACACCAGGCGCCATCTCTGGCTCTGCTGCACTTTTGCCGTCACCGTCAGCTGCTGATGCATCTTCTGCCGCTGCAGCTCCTTCTCCTCCTTCAGCGACGCGCCGACGCTTGCCTGCCAGGCGCTCCAACTGCTTTTCTGCTCCTCACGGAACTTAGCTGTCTGCTCAGCAGCTGCTCCAAATAGCTGCTGCACTTGCTGAGAGACCGACTGCTGCAACGTCTTGAGCCGCGTCTCTGCCTCTCTCTTGTCCTCAGGTGAGAGGTCGTACTCAGCCTCAGGTGCCAGCAGCGAGTCCAAGTTAATAGGCAGCTCTTTGCCCTGGAGAATGTCCTCGATCGGGATCGAAGGTGTAGTCGCCTGCTGTTCTCCAGCAGCATCTCCACCCACGTGCTCGGCCAGCTGCTGAACGAGTCCTTTGTGACGTTGCTCAGCCTTGGAAAGTTCCTCCGTGAAAGACTGCACCACAATGCGCTGGGCGTCCAAGTCTTTCTGGAGCCTCTCGAAGTAAGTGACCGCTTTGTTGAGCTTGCCCTCCAGGGCGCGCATGTCGTGGAAAGCCTTGCCCACCTGCTGCTGGAGGGGGGGTTCGACCTTCTGCACCACGTGCTTGGAGTCCAGGATCTTCTGGTACTTGGCAACGCCGTCGGAGTCGCCCACTGAGCGCATGTAGGCGATGACCTCACAGAGCTTGGCCGACTCCGCAACGGCTCCTCCAGGACGCGGAAGAGACCCTCCTGACTGCTGGAACAACGGGCCTGGCTGCACAGGAAGCGTACCAGACCAAGAACCAGGAGGAGGCTGAGCACCTTGGGGCCCTGCCTGCTGCGGCTGTCCTTGCCAGGCCCCTTGCGGCGAGGGATGCATGTCGAAGGACGGCGAGCTGCGCCAGGCCCAGCAGTGCTTACACTGCTGCCACTGCTGCTTGTTCTTCTTGCATCCGCACTGAGAGCACTTCCACGTCGAAGGAGTGTTTCCACGGTGCTGGTAGACCGTGCGATCGGGATCTTGCCATGGCCAGCCATCGTTCCAGCGTGCAGAGCGAGAGGCAATCGGGGCCATGCTAGCTCTGGGACGACGGCGGGAATCTTGTCGCCTCGCAAAGTTGGCTCGCAGGAGCGCGCGCCCCTTTGAAGAACAGTTCCTGCAACGCTACTCGAGCGCAAAGGGGCTAAAGACATGCGCGGCGCAGAAGTGATTGATGCGAGAGGAGGGGACGCCTCCGTCGATCGACTCGGCACCCGAGCAAGAGGCGATATGCAAAAAAAAAAAAAAAAAAAACATGCAGCCGGGTGCGGAAGACATGCATGGCCCAGCAACCCAGACTGGCACAAGCTGCACCAACTGTAGGCAAGCGGTTCCATGTCGGGTCCGAAGGCCTGGGCCTGGGCAATCGATACCGCACATCACCTCCAGGGCCCCATTGAGGCAAGCTCGAGGGCGCCACGCTCCCGCGATGGCCTGGCTTGGGTAAGACAGTCAGCAACGGGAATGGGCTTCGCACAGATCTGTTAAATGATATTTCCCGGAGCGCCGTGCAAGCTCCAGACTCGAGCAATTTCCCATCCGAGGGTCGCCGTGGTGCGCCGCTGGATCTGCGCCCGCATTCAGCAGTGCTGTGGCCACGCCAAGCTCTAACTGCGCGGTGGACTGGCGCATGCTCTCGATACACTCGGCGGCGCCCAGCGGAGTGTTCGGCATTCCCCTCAAGCCAATGAAGTGATCCTCCGCCCCTGTGCTGAGCAGCTGGAGAGGGGACTGCCAACCGACGCTCGCCACGCCGACCTCCGCGCCGTTCTCGATCAGCAACCGGACCACCTCCACGCTGCACCTGAGCCGGATCGCGGCACAGAGCGGCCATTCGAAGCGGCTGTCCCAGAACGGCTGCTAGGCTGCTTCGGGGTCTGCCTCGATGGCGAGGCGCACTTGCTTCGTGCAGTTTCGCTCGAGGGCCAAAAGCAAGGGCTCTGCACGGTGCTCTCCGAATTGCAGAGACGGCGGCGCTGCAGGCACCCCAGAGCGCACACGCGGCGTACTGGGTGGAGTCGTCCAGACTGTCTGCGACGCACTTGGGGCCCCGGGCGCGCAGGTGGACGGACACTGAGCCAAGCGCGTCGCCTCCGACAAACGCTTGGGGTTTTCCGAGGAAGCGTCGTCGGAGTCGCGGGCCGCTTTGACGGGACTCACCAGCGAAGTTGGCAACTGCGGGACGTCGGGCTGATTAGTCGGGTAGTCCTCTCTGGAAGAAAGAAGCGCCCACATGTGGCCGAAGCGCACCGTTCCCAAAAAGTTCCTGAAAAGGTTTAGCGCGGTGCAAGCAGGACAACTCGGCAACCAAGCCTTGAACCGAACCCGTTACGGAGGGTGTTATTGGGGCGCTCTTGAGATCTTTTGGGGGCCGTCCTACAATTTACTTGGGCCTAGTAGTAGTAGTAGTAGTAGTAGTAGTAGTAGTAGTAGTAGTAGTAGTAGTAGTAGTAGTAGTAGTAGTAGTAGTAGTAGTAGTAGTAGTAGTAGACGTAGTAGTAGTAGTAGTAGTAGTAGTAGTAGTAGTAGTAGTAGTAGTAGTAGTAGTAGTGGTAGTAGTAGTAGTAGTAGTCGTAGTAGTAGTAGTAGTAGTAGATGTAGTTGTAGTAGTAGTAGTAGTGGAAGCAGTAGTAGGAGTAGTAGTAGAAGAAGTAGTAGTAGTAGCCGTAGTAGCCGTAGTAGTAGTAGTGCTAGTAGTAGTAGTAGTAGTAGTGGTAGTAGAAGCAGTAGCAGTAGGAATAGTGATAGTAGCGGTCGGAAAACAGTTGTGGTCGTCGAAGTAGTAGTAGTAGTAGTAGTAGTAGTAGTAGTAGTAGCAGCAGTAGTAGTAGTAGTAGTAGTCGTAGTCGTCGTCGTAGTAGAAGTAGTAGTAGTAGTAGAAGAATAAGTAGTAATAAAAGAAGAAGTAGTAGAAGTAGTAGTAGTAGTAGTAGGCGTCGTCTTCGTAGTAGCAATAGTAGTAGTAATAGCAATAGAAGCAGTAGCAATAGTCGTAAAAGTAATAGTAGCAACAATAGTCGTAGTAGTAATAGCAGTTGTAGTCGTAGTGATAGGAATAAACGTCGTAAGAGTAGGAGTAGCAGCAGCAATAGTAGTAGCAGTAGTAGTAGCAATAGACGTAGTAGTAGTAGTAGTCGTAGTAGTAGTAGTAGTAGTAGTAGTAGTAGTAGTAGTAATAGTAATAGTAATAGTAATAGTAATAATAGTAGTCGTCATCGTCGTGGCAAGAATCAATATCGCAGCAGCAGCACTAGTAGTAGAAGTAGTAGTAACAATCGTATTCGAAATATGTGTCGTAAAAGTAGTAGTAGTAGTAGTAGTAGTAGTAGTAACCGTAGTACTCGTAGTAGTAGTAGTAGTAGTAGTAGTAGTAGTAGTAGTAGTAGTAATAGTAGTGGTAGTCATCGTAGTAGTAGTAGTTGTTGTTGTTGTCGTAGAGATCGCGGGGGAACAACAGGGTAGTGGGAATAGCAGCAGTGGTGGTAATGGTGGTGGTAGTAATCACACCAAAAAATAATAAGGCAGTGGCAATGGTAGTAGTACTCGTAGTGGTGGGTGGCGATGGTAGTAACATTGACCGTACTAGCCAACTGGCAGGTTAGTTGTAGTTGTGGTAGTGGTAAGGGTGGCAATCTATATATCTATATATATACATATATATGTACATATATATATATATATGTAAATACATATATATATATATATGTGCACGTACGTGGCAACATGCATGGATGTTGCATGATGTGCACTGGTGTTCTTGGTGACAAAAAAGAAAGCGTGGCCTTGAATTGTGATGGAAATATATCGGTGACCGCTCGTGATGACTGGCCTTGACTGATAAGAATCCGGCGCTGATGTTACTGCTGCTCTGAAAGTACGCCAAGTGCCTGGTGAATAAAAACTGTGAGTTGGATGGCAGATCATGGCACACTTCTTGATGCCACCCATGGTTGTGTCATGGTTGCGAATGTATGGTGTATACCTCGGCTGAGTGCAATTGTTATTTCCTGGTGGTGCATGTTGTTGGCGTTTGCTCTTGTATGTTCAAGGCCTGTTCTAAGTGTTACCGCGTGTTGACACGTGTCCTTGGCGTATACTGTGGATGTTCTTGATGTCTGTGGACGGCGTGACGCCGCTGACGCCTGAAACGGCATGATGTCTGCCTGGTGGGGCTCGGCGAGGCAGGACACTTCGGCCGACGAGAGGGGCCGGACCCGTTCCCCGCGCGCGTCACGCTTTTGCGGCCAAGCATGAGAGGTACCGCGCGATCGCGGGCAAGCCCAACAGCAAGCCTGGTTGAGCTCAGCCCGACCCTGCCCAAGGCCGGAGCTAGCAAGATACCACTGGGGAACACGTGGACCTGGCCACCGCGGAACGCAGGACTGGCGAGGATGGACACTCAGAGACCAACTTGGGACCTATCTGGGCCTGGCGGTCGCGGGGTGGCGGGCTGCCGTGCGGGCCTTTCAATCTTGGCTGCCGTGCGGCCTTCTGAATATCATCTAAAAGCAGAAGCCTGCCAGGCGGGGGCCAACCTCGTGCCTCGAATCTCGACCCTCGAATTCGACGACGACGAAGCCGACGACTACGGCCCCCGTTCGGGGCGAACGGACTGGGGGGATGGCAAAGGGGACCGGTTGTGACTCAGCCCGCGCAGCTGGTTGCTCCGGCGCCATCCGAAGACGAGAAACCTGCTCGCATCCGCGGCCTCGCGGGCCGAACCCCTGGGCGGGTTCCCCCCGCAGATACGGATCCGTGCGACCGCGTCTCCGCGGGATGGCGCCGCGGAAGCCAGGCTGCGAGGGCGAGGATACTGGTGCAGTCATCGAGCCCAGCCATGAGGAACGCATGATAGATAGGGAACCAAAGGGTTTTTTCTGGCCACGGCCACGGCGGGCCGAAATAGGCGACGGCAGAGTCTAAGGATTGGCCCGTGGACCCGAGCCCCTCCTGAGCCCAAAGTCGTGCTTGAAAATTTCAGCGTCTTGAGTTTATGTTCTCGCTCGTGAATTGCCCGGATTTGTCGTCCGTCGTCCGACAGCGTCCGCTGTCCGCCGTCGTCCGTTGCCCGACCTCGTCAACCAAAGCCCTCGTCGTCTAGCACCTGCCGGCGCACGGCCGACGTCCGCCGACTTGGACGCCCGACGTATACATGATAAGCGCTGTCCAAGGTAACTCCGGCCTGGGCCCCCGAGGCGCGAATCTGCAGTTACCCCTGGCCGCCCCAGCCCGGATGTTTCGGGAGGGTCGGACGCCCGAGTCGTCCGGGATAGAACTGCGGTCCAGGGTAAATCTGGCCTGGGCCCCCGAGGCGCGAATCTGTAATTAGCTGTCCCTGACCAAACCCCGCCCTGATGATTCGGGGCTCTGAACGGCGGCGTCCGTCGCCAGCGTTAAAATGAAGTCTCGGGTTTTCGCTTCTCGTCGGGGGCGGGCCGTGCATCAGCTCGCAACGCCAGTTTTTCCCGCGCCCCCTGGCCCCGGACAAAAGCACGCACACACGCACACACACTCTTTGCGTCAGCGGCTAAGCAGAGTCACTGCGCTGGCGATAGGGCGCTGGTGTGCAGGAAACGTGAATGAAGCCACCACGCAGGAGCGGGCAAAGAGAAGGCGGAAAACACACACGCACACACACACATACACACGGACACGCACACGCGCACACCCATACACATACACACACACACATACACACGGACACGCACACGCGCACACCCATACACACATACACACACACACACACACACACGCGCACACGCACACGCACACGCACACGCACACGCACACGCACACGCACACGCGCACGCACGCACACGCACACGCACACGCACACACACCACACACACACACGCACCCCCACCCACGCACACACCACACACGCGCACGCACGCACGCACGCACGCACGCACGCACACGCACGCACGCACGCACGCACGCACGCACGCACGCACACACACACACACACACACACACACACACACGCACACGCACACGCACACGCACACACAAACGCACACACACACGCACACACACACAAACACAAATTTCGGCGGACCGACCTCGGGCGCAACGCCCCAACGATGGGTGCGGCGACAGAGCCAGGGTTGCCGTCCCGCTAACACCCCGCTTGGGGGGCGCAGGCGGTGACGCGCGCTGTCCCCGACCAGGCCAGCCTGCGCGTTGAACACTCAGGGCGGGCGGGTGAGACAGAAAAAAAAACTCGCCACCGACCGAAGCAGCTCCGCACCCAGGAGCGGGCGGGTGAGACAGACAAAAAAAACTCGCCACCGACCGAGGCAGCTCCGCACCCAGGAGCGGGCGGGTGGGGCAGAACGGCCGACGGGCCCGCGCCGCGGGCGAGCGCCCCGCGAGCGCGGCGCGAAGCAATAATACGCAACCTGCGAAGCAGACGGCGACAGGGCGCGCCGCGACCCGCCCCGGCGCGATCCCCACGGCGCGCCTGCGCGAGCGCCCGCGGCAGGCCCGCGCATGACAACAAAGAAGCACCAACCACCGAGCGCGGGCGGCGCGCCCTGCGGCCGGGCTGCATGCGTCGCGCGTCGCACGCGCCGCGGCACCGCGGGGCCCGTCGGCCGACCTGCGATTTGTGCCCGCGCAGCACCCTGCAGGTGTGCGCCCCGCACCCACACGCACACACACGCGCACACACACACACACACACGCCAGCTGCATGCAGCAAACCTCTCACCTCACACCCTCCTCCTCCTCCGCCTCCTCGCTCCTCCTCCTCCTCCTCCTCCTCCTCCTTCTCGCTCCTCCTCCTCGCCCTCCTCCTCCTGCTCCTCCGCCTCTCCCCCCTTCCCCCTCCGCGCCCTTTCACAGACCTCGGACGCCGTGATTCTGTCGCAACGCGGCTCCTCAGCGGACTGGACCTCTTGACCGGCACCAGCTTTACATCCTGAGCGGCTGCTGTTGACGCCCCCCCTTCAAGCAATCAATTCATGTCGGGACTTCGTCCGACCCGACACCTTCGTGGCCGCGCGCACAGGGGTAGATGGGGGACCCGGCAGGCTTCTTAGGAAGGGGCTGCATGTTCGGAAGTGCCGGCCTCACATCTATGGGTGAAGCCCGCGCGTTCTAAGGACCAGTCTCCTTCTAAGACGCCTTCCGCCCTCCCCCCACCCCCCTCTGCGCGTGGCCGACCAACATCGAGACAAGATCAGACCAATGTGAATCCGCCGGCCCAGTCGGCGTGTGTGAGAGGCTCCTCAACGCGAGGGCAGCCCAGCCCCAACCGAAGTACGCCAGTCAACGCCTCCCTCTGACGCCCCGGCCCCGTGCCCCGAGCCTCTGTGGCAGGGCCATCCGTTCGTCGCTGTCGTTCTCGTCGTGCGTCGTCGTGCCTCGTCGTGGTCGTCGTTGTGGTCGTCGTCGTCGTCGTGCCTCGTCGTGGTCGTCGTTGTGGTCGTCGTCGTCGTCGTGCCTCGTCGTGGTCGTGGTGGTCGTGCGTTTTCTTGCCTCGTGGTGGTCGTGGTCGTGGTCGTCGTCGTCGTCCTCCTCCTCCTGCGTCGGCGGCGCTGGCCGTCCCTCTGCGCGTGGCCGACGTCCCCCCAGGGGCGCGACCCGAGCTCGGTGACCGTTGCCATCCCAAAGCCGCCCGCCCCCCCCCCCTCGGCACCCTGAGGGGCCACGGCCGGGAGGGGGACCGTCTCGGGGGGCGGGCCAGATCTGCATCCACGCCCATACGACCAACCTTCGGGTGAGAAGGAGGTTCGGGGTTGGGGATGATTCACGTCGCGCTGGATAGATCTCACCATCCATGTCATCATCGATCTCCCTATCGCTCCCCTTATCGATCGCACTATCGATCTCACGATGGATCCCGCTTAGGACTGTCTGAGAATAGGGCGCGAGAGAAGGCCGGTGTGCGCAGTGGATATGGCAAAACAAAAAAAACAAACAAAAAAACAAACAGAAAACGTCTGGCCTCTGGCGGCAAGACATTTACCCACATGCACTGCGCTTCGGGCGTGTGGAAGGGATCCCGAAACTCCAAAATGCAATGGCCCGCACAGGGGGCGGGAAACATCGACATGGGCTCTCGATGGCGAGTCCGCTCTCGATGGCGAGTCCGCACGCTCCTGGAGGGGAAGGGCGACGGAGACCCCCGCTAAATCGTCCCAACCCTCCCACGTGCCACCCCCTTGCAACAATGACTCGGGTCCTGGTAAACCGTCCCGGCTTCCCCTGGCGATTTTCCGTGAGCCTGCGCACGACGGAGAAATTCCAGAAATTCGATATCTCCAGAGTATGCTAACAATGGCACGGATTGGGGCTTCCGATCGCTCACTCGCTCGCTTGCTGATAGCACGTGATGCGCCGAAACGGCAACACCATTCTCTGATACTGGCTGTGGTCCGCGCGGAGACGACAGCACCGTTCTCAACCGGGGACGCGCGGAGCGCTGAGGCTGGATCACCGTTCTCACTTCGGACGTGGCGGGAGCTGAAACGAAAGCACCGCTCCCAAAAAGGAATGCGGCCGTCGCTGAGGCGAGAACAAAATCAAGATTTGTCGAGGAAACCGTTCTGCACTGTACTACGATCTGCCACAGGTCTCATGTCTCAGGATAAACTGGCCGGACCACCTCAGGTCAAGGCATCTCCGAGCCGAGATCTGAAAGGGCGTCTCCAACGAAATAGGCCCAATCATCTTAAGCATCTAAAACACAAGTCTCTGTCGGCTGTCCCTCGACCACAACGAGCATCTGACACAACGGACCCGCAGAGTGGGCGCAAAGAATGCTGACACTACAGCGTTCTGAGAAAATCTTGACATGTTGGTGACGACAATTCTACACTTCGTAAGAATATCTGCTATCACAGTGGCGCCAGCGCGAGGAAATCTGGGCCGACTTACAAGGAGCCACAGAACCTGGGCCCCATCGGCGACAAATCGGCGATTGTGGGTCGACGCCGCACCACCTGAGCAGATCATTGGAGCAGTACGACTTACGAATCCATCTCTGGACCCCTCGAGAGGTCCAAACGCATTAGCTTTTTCTCAGCTGCGCTCAGCCGTGGCGACGAGGGCCCCCCCCCCGAAGGCCCACCTATTGTCCCAAATCGCCCTCAACTGGTTAGAGACGTGAGGAAACGGCATAAGCAAAATTTAGCAAAACCTCCACGCGGACTCCTGGATCTGCCCTGGACCCACCTCCCCTGCGCGCGGCCACAGAGACCCAACGCAGATCCAGAATCCAAGCGGGCCTCCAAAGACTTTCCCCTCACAGTGCTTGCGGGTGAGGGCTCTTGCTTGTCTCCCCACGGGGTGAACTGAGTCCAGCGAGGTTCTTGCCATCGCTCGGACGTCCATTCCCTATGCATTTTTCGGCTTCGTGCGTGATGTTTCGTTGCTCGATGGTCCAGGATGTTCCTCGATGGCCCTCGTCGAGAAAAAATGCACACGTCCGAGCGATGCCAGGGGTTTCGCCACGTTGCCGCTTGTTGCCACCGATTGCGCTGGGTGGGTCCGGCGAGGTCTCGCCAGACCGCCGCCCGTTGCCGCCTCGCTGCCGCCTCGCGCGCTGGGTCGGTCCAGCCCGTCTCCACCACGCTGCCGCCCGTTGCCACCCCGATGCCGCCTCGTGCGCCGGGCCGGCCCGGCGAGGCTCCGCCACGTCGCCGCCCGTTGCCGCCCCGTTGCCGCCTCGTGCGCGCACCACGCTTACTACACCACATAGTCTGCACCACAATTGTGACAGGTCTGCACTGGAGGAGCTTGCTGCCTGGGGCCAGCGCGGGCTGGACTTCACCGCTCGGGGCCGGCGCGGGCTGGCACATGTGCGCACGCAATCTCCTGCTGCTCCACCGTTGTCTCAACTCGCCCTTCTCTGAGATCCCCCTCTGATGTTGCACCCGAGACGGGGCGCGGGGAGCGGGGGGGGGCGGCGCAATCCCCTCGGCCAGAACGGCGGCGGGCGGGCGGCAAGCGAACCGATCCGAATTGATCGCCGCGCCTGGCTCCCAGTGGGCCATGGCCGATGCCAGCGAACCGAGCCGAATCGAGTCGAACCGAAATCTCGGCCCCGGCCAGCGAATCGAATCGCATCGCATCGGGTCGTGGGCGGCCCCGGCACCAATGCCTCGCCAGCCGCGCGCCGTGGGCCAGTGCCGCCAGACCGCGCGCAACAATGGCAGCGGAAGCACCTCCTCCTCCTCCTCTTCCTCCTTCTCCTAATCCTCCTAATCCTCCTCCCCCTCCTCCCCCTCCTCCTCCTCCTCCT